TGTAGATCGCTGTGTATTTGTTAGATTATTGTTCAGGTCTGATTGCAATGATATGGAATTTTGAATCGAGAACTTCAAATTAATCTGATTTCGTCTCACCGAATTGCTTAGATAAAACATAATGAAAATGAAAGCGATTAACAATTCCAGTGATAGGTTTGAGTTTGAAAATAATCACTAAACAAACCGAAGAGTTGATGATCCTCGCCCGTACGCAGTTTACCGGTAATCTCGAATATATAACACGGACTCTCGCAAGATACATAATGTGGATTCTCACATGGATGCTCGTCGAGCAACGTACCGGTTCTAGAGTCCAGCAAACGATATTTCATGAACTTGTTCCAATTCTGAAAATTCATCCAGGTCCTTTCACGACAAACACCTCATGAACATATCAGAAACTGCGAAAAACTCTAAGCGCAAGCTTAGAAAGCTAAATTCGAATGAAAATAATCGGATCGCAATCCTAATCATATGAATAATAAAATAATCAAAATAATCAATCAAAAAGTTAATCAGATGATTTGGATTGCATTTGATCATGTATCCATATGGTTATTATAACATTCTTCTTGTTATGCTTGCTATATTATCGTTATTACTATTAGTGCGTTGTAACAATAACTATTTTAGGATATTAAAGATCATTGTTGTACCGTAACGGCTTCCTGTGTAGCACACGATAAGCACCGATGAGCGTTTACGAATCGGAAATATCCGGTCAAATAGATAACAGTCAACAGAATCACCGCAACGGCACAATGCATCTCTTGTTGAATGTGACTGATCGTGGACTCTTTCCCTTTCACTTCTTCGGATTCACTTGTTTCGCGTCGTCAAGCAGATAGATGTTCGTTCCTTGATCAGTTATCTTTTCAAGAGATTGAGTACTGAAAATGATGATGGATCTTAAACTTATTATCGCCTGGCAATGTGTTTGAGTTAAAACACCGCAAAAATTTGTACATTGACAATTGAATTATGAATTGAAAGCTTGAATTGATCGACTGAATCAAGTAGGTCGAATAAAAACAACGCAGATGGCGCCTCGAGTTCAACTATGTTGTCGAAGGCAGATGATTTTATAACTGAAGGAAGAATTCATGGATTGAAATATAAGAGTGCTTAACATGGTTGTATGATGATGGCTAGCTGAACAGCAGTAATTAGTAGTAGTAGTAGTAGTAGTAGTAGTCAAGTATCAAATCTCATTATGATAGCTTAAATGTTATAGTCAAATTTCGAAGTCACAATTGAGCCAATTCAATGAGAGAAATCATCGTATAATATCGCAAAAGTTGCGAAAATTCAGAAATGAATGCACGCAGAATAGGTTCGTTCGTTTAGACTGAACGAAGACCGATGACGTTTGAACGTTCGAATAAATCTTCTTTGTTTGGGTGCTTCTTGTTTTAAGGAAGA